TTTTGCTTGCGTGGCTCCATTCATTGTGCTTCAATTATTTCTACCAAAATACTTTAAAATATTTTCAAATGTTAGATAATTAGATGCTAGACGGTTTGTCGTTTGAACAGTTTCAGGTTCGCGGTCTGTTATGGAAGGCATCGCAGTGGATTGCATAGTCGAATTCGAATCGTTCTGTATTTCACGTAATTATTGTCATCTAGTAAGTGAATCTTGCACACGAAACCTAATCGCAAGTGTCTTGTAAACTGTCGGGAGTGTTATAGTGTATCAAACATCGTGTGCAATCGTTATGTGTCGTCACGGTTTCGGTGTCGGAGGTTATTCGAAGGCATTGTTCTAGCAATAAGATACAAACGCTTGAAATTGATTGCAATCTCCGCATATTTGTCATTTTCGCATCAAAGCTAATAATTCAACGAAATTACAATTAGTGCACAATCATTGTCAAGTATGTACACATCGTCAATTTTTTCTCAAAATATTTTTTTATTTTTTAAATCAGACAATATTTCATTAAACAATATTTTTTATCAAACAATATTTCATGCTTATTTTTATTTATGTAATGTATTTGTATTTTGTTGACTAAATCTTTGCCGATGCATTCCCATTTTACATTACCGACGATCAGTTATATCAAGATTCTTCAAATTTGATATGATAGTCACAAAATTGCTCAAAATGTCGAGTTTTTGATAATATTTTATCAATGCCTGACGCTGTCGTTAAAAAGTAATTTAAAAAATGCGAATACATTTAAAAATCTCGAGACAAAAGTCACTATTTATTATCGATGATTGTTAAGTTGCATGTAGCTCGAAGCAAGAAAAACTGGTAATAAATAATTCATCGACGAGAAAAAAAATCAAGTGAAAAAGATCAATGCATCTGCTGTGAAATTGGTCGCATGTATCGAGAAAATCGAAAATGTGACGTCACGAGAGCGCGCGATAAGACAGATTCGATGGGAGGAAGCGAACGGCGCGGGCGTGCGCGGTGCAGCAGTCGACTGTATCGAATATGGCCGCCGCAAGCGTGATGCCGTCAAAGGTGCGCGAAAAATGACGGGTTTTCCGCGCTCCTGACGGCGCGATCGTACTTACGCGCGCGAGAACAGTGTCGAGCAAACGTAGTGCTGCGTCGTGACGTTAGGACGACACGACGGCGGTGTCGCATCACCATGGCGTTGGTCACAGTGCAGCGTTCTCCGAGCGTGTCCAGCTCTCCACAGAGTTCGGTGAGTGTTTTGTGTTACCTTCTATATACAACTCGTGTAAACGCCGTGCAGGCCGTACTATCGGCGCTTTATCGGCCGCGTGAAATGCGTTACGACGCCGTCCTGGCGGGTCACTCGCTTGCGTGGCTCTGTTCGGCTCGGCCGGAGCTTAGACCGGCTGCTCTACCTTATTTGGCGGTGCACTGACAGCCGCGCGAGAAAGGGAATCTGTGAGAAATTAAAAGTTCCCCCATACATCACGTATCCACGTTCGCGAGGTAGCGCGACGTGACACGCGTGACACGGCCACCGGGCCACGGTCGCCGGCGCGGAAAGCGCGCCGAAACAAAGGCACTCGTGGCGTAAACAAACGTAGGCAGGTAGGTCGTCCGTCCGCTCGCTTCGAATCGCCTATTCTCTGCTGATGTATCGCCGCTCGTCCTCGATACCCGCGTCGTGGCGCGATCGCGGATCGTGCTCCGAGGAGATTGTGTTGTTACACGGGTTTTTGTTTATCGCTTTATGCTTTCGCTTTCCGTTCACACGATCGTCATTGATAAGTTCTCTCACGTAGTCGAAGGCGGTTTTGTACTCCATTGTCCGTGATCTCGCATTTATTGATGTTCGCGAAGGCGCTTTCACGATATCGAACTTTTGTTGCGAGATGAAAGTTGGAAGGCGCAGGTTCTTTTGTCGTAGCGCGCGAGTGGCCGATGAATGATTGCGCGCTTCCGTAGCGCTGATAATAGTGCATGCGAATGATAATTTCGCGGTTTCATTTCCTAGTAGTTTCTCAGTAGCGGAATTGTGCAACAAATGCGAGACGAACGCGAAATTGTTTCTCATCGGATGATCTATTGAGTGGCCGATTCGTTATCGGATATCGTTATCGATTGTTGAATCATATTGCGATGTACACGGTTGCAAAGATATTTTAATATTCCAATTGCAACACATTGTTACTAATGAAATTATTATAAATTCTAGATTTTTTAATATAAAAAAATGCCAGTATATATGTAAATGTAACAATATTAATGCGATAGCAATAATAATAACTGTGCTTATATATTAATTATTTAATGCGCAACAATAATTTATTTTATATAAGCGTGCACAGTTGATTGTCCTTTATATTAAAATATTTTACCAGATTAACAGAAATTATATTTTATTTCCAAAATTTGAAATAAAGTATAATCGAACTAAATTTTCAATTTATTTATCAATTAATTTTCAACAGATTATTATCTCAAAAATTATTTTCTATTTTATACGTAATAGTTGAATATTCTATGTTGCGCTAAATAACCTTTTAGTCTTCGAATACTAAAATGAGTACTAAATTCATTGCAAAAATTGTGCTTTGTTTCTGGCATTTAATTTTCATTCGCTTTCCACAAATCGCTTTCACATCTTATACGTATCTCATTCGCTTGCGTTGTTCGATACAGCCACCTTCGACGCTTCGACCTTTCGTTTGCGACGATCTTATCGCGAGCGGACCTCCACGCTCCAAGGGGTGACAATCACGTCGCGGAGGCGCTGCCGATCCGAACCAAAGCGCGCACACCGACACGCTCGCGCGTATGCGAGCGAGGTGGTGTGGAGAGACGTTCTCTCTCAGCCCTCCTCGGCGTCGGCGGACTCAGTTGGTCCGCCGTCACTTGGTCACGACGGTAGCTCGCGAAGCTGATAAATATTTTGCTGCGATCTGATCGCGTTTTCGGTCGCTGCTCCTCCGAGTTCGACATTTAAAACTTTAATTTTCGCGTCTCTCCGTATTTTCGCTCATATCGGTTCACTTTTCACGTCGGAATCAGACTAATCGCGATAATGAGAGATGATTGTCGAAACAGTATGTGCAGTATAATCACAGAATGTAATTAGAAACTCGATTACTGGCGCAAAGTTGTTTATATCCGATAATCAATCACATCAATGTCGATCTGATTTGTAGCTAGTTCATTTGACGAATTTTATCCGGCGAAAGTTTCGGTCGATGGCGGAGACGCGTTGTCGCATTTGCATATCGTGAGGGGACGTTTGTCGATAGCACGTGAGGCATGATTGTACTGAAGCAGAAGGCTTCTGTGCACTATGGCCTGCCACCGCCGCCGGCACCCCAGCCACCCTCGCCGTGGTCCAGTATTCTGTGGGGCGACAATCGGCGATCTCGTGGGCGAAGAGTCGCGTGTGGCGTACGCGTCACGCAACTGCGAGACAAAGTCACCGCAAAAGTAAGATTCCACGCTATGCGGATGTATTTTTTTTTTTTTTTTGATTGTTTAACGAGTTTAGAATCACGCTAACGTACTTCGTGGTACTGATTCTCACAATCTGAGCGAATAAATTTATTGCCATTACGTGAGATTTATTTTGCAAATAAGTGTCTTTTTTTATTGAAGACATAGAATTTTATTTTCCCGCAATTTTTCAATTCTTAGTATTAAGTGTTTCTTACTATTACAATCGTTTTTATCTTTCTATGACAAACTGTGATAAAATGTGAATTCATGACGCCTACAAATTCGCGATGAAGCACATTAGATTTTGACAAGGAAAAACGAATCGCAGAAATAAGTACAATTTTGTCGAGATAATTAAGATGAAGAATGCGACCGTTATTCGAATTAATCACATGCCTTTCTTTGAGGGTAATCAAGATCCGCGATAACGGAATACTAAGCAGCACGCAAATCGTATCGAATATGGGGAAAGTCACTTTAACGGCATACGACATTACGGACACGCTCATATTTTGTATATAATTAACACGCAAAGGCACAAACTTATCGCAATATATTAATTATGATGGAAGATGAAACGCGAAGTTGAATATGAAATTAGGTTTTCTATTATAATTTTCTATTCATATTTTGTATTGTACAATATATTAATCATAACATATTGATGCATACAAGTTTAATCGAATGTAAGAACAATATTTATTGAAGGAAAATTTGCAATAGTTGATCTGAATAGCATAGTATATTTTATTTTGTTGAATGCATTTTAAATTTAATAATATTTGAATATAAACAAAGTTATAAATATATAAAAATAATAGATTTTTAAATAATTAATATTATAAAATTAAAAGAGGGTAATCAATAATTTATCCTTTTCTAGAATGCAATTTTTTGCTAAAATAAAAAGCTTAAAATAGAATTTTTTCACATTTTTAATCTCTAAATCGCTTGTCTGCAATCAACAGTTATATAAGAAAAGTACTTTACTTTAATTAAATACTACCACTAATCACCTCAGTTTTGCACGAAGAGTTTCATGCGTGACTACTACGCATTGTTTGTCACGTATAAGTCTTACTTGCTTTTTGTCTTCTTAATTGAGCAACAGTATAATTAATATGGATTGACACGTGGTCATTGCATCACTGATTTATGCGCGCTTCAGTTGCATTGTCCGAAAACACGTTACAGAAGTCGAAAGTGTATTTTTATTTTCTATTTTCCCAGATCGTATCTCTCTGTTTTATTACCGTTATTACGTCTTTCGAGCTCGCAATTATGCTTCGTGAACTTTTGTTAGAAACTGAAAGTTTTCACAATTCATTATTAATTTGTTCTTATTTTGGTTTATCCGCACATGCCGCATTATTTTTCTGTCAAAATAAAAAATATAAAATAATTTTAGAAAATAAATCTACATAACTTAAAAATATGCAGAAATATGAAACGGTGTTTTGTAACACATTGTATATTTCGTTACATTTCGTATTGAGATACGTTATCTTAATACAGTGTGTGGCAATGACATTGAATTCTCTCAGTCAATTTAATCATAACCACGCATGGACACCAAACACAATACGTTCTTCTGACTCGACTGCGAGTTGACTTTATCAGACTAAAAAATGACACGTTGAGTGTGTAACGCTTAGAAGCGGCAGGCAGGATTATCAAGATTTACGTTTGTGCTGATGCATATGAAATTACTTCGAACAGTCGACGTTAAATCGCGCGTGTGAAATTTTCTTTGAATTCTAAAATCTATCGATGCATTTTTATTAAGCTTTTGTTTTATAATACAAATACGTATATCTCTGAGTTATCTGCAATATATAAATAAAAAACAAAATATTCGAAAGATGTTCAAGAAAGTATACTTAAATTTTTATTCCATTTTAATTTCTAATTTTTATACTTTTAATTTTGTCATTTGATACTGAAATAAACGTGCTTAATTACAATTTTTCACAGTACTGATTGGTTTACGAAAAAGATGATTCCATAACGGAGATTCTAACATTGCAATATTATTTAATTATCAATGCGAACGCATTGTTACATGGCATAAATGATCCTTACGAAAGTACCTGATACACAAATTCGATGATTTCCTGATTTCTCGTCATTCGAATTATATTTTTTCCGTATATTTAAATTTTTGCGAAATTATATTATAAAAGCAAGGGACTAATGCTACAGACTGCCTCTTCAACATTAATTATTTTGTTATCTTTCTATATTTTGGGATTCGATTATCATCGATTACTATCAGATGAATAACTGCTGAATAAATTGGCAAATTATACTTACTAATAATGTTGAGCAATCGTGTTCCATATTTTTGTCTGCATGGTTGTGTTAATAGAAAGTAATGCGAGCAAAATTAATGATCTGAATATGTAATGCATATGTATGTTCGCGCTATTAACACATTTTTACGGTAAATGCAATGCTAACGTTCAATTATCGCTTTAACTTATCAATGTTATTACAAAATCCTGCGTTAATTACGAATTTCGCGATAAATTATAACGAAATTTTCAATGAAATTCGTGAAATGCGAAATGATTTAGAATATTACGTTTTACTTGATTTTAAAATCAACATTTTTTGTTCGAAATTATTTGATATTAATTAATGCGCATAATTTTATATTTGAAGTCGGTCAGTTTCTTCGCCGAGATCGTATCGATTACCGAAGAAGTCGTCGTGGAATTTCTCATAGATATGTCGTGAGAAAGCGAAACGCACGTACGGCGGCGTATTTCTGTTAAGAGGCGTGTATCGTCCACGAGAGTTAATACGTACAAACGGCGGGAGAAATGCGCGGTAATTCATGTGGGACGATTCGAACAACGTCGTCGTACGCGATCGGATCTCGTATCCGCGTTTCGCCAGTCGGCAGTTCCGCGTGCAATTATAAACCCGAAATAGAACTCCGAATGATCCTTCTTGCGCGCGCGGTGTGTGTTAGATACGCGTGCAACTTTAAAACAGTCACGTCTCCCGATGGTGATCTCATTTCAAACAGCCCGAATGTTTGGATGTTTATTCGCGCGTGATTAACACGCTGCTAAGAGAAGTATCAGCCGCAATCTCGACGTGTTTTTGTAATTTTCTTGTAAATTAGAGTTTAATAATAGGATCACAAATCGATTACATGTAGCTATCACGGGAAGTAATCAATATGTAGATTTATTATTAAATTCTTTTTCACGATCTGCAATGTGTCTCGAGAGTATATTTTGCACCATCTTAATAATAAGAAAGACAAATTGGACAAACTCACCGATCGCAGCAGCGGAATTGTCCTGTTGATCGGTAAAATACGAAAGTAAATCCAGATTGAAGCTGAGTTTTGCAATAATTAATATTTATGAAATTATAATTGCGTACATTGAATTTTTGATTTGTTTATCTAAGCAAATATCTAATAAAAGAATTATTAAAGAAAAAATTATTTGAAAAAGTAATATGTAAAAAATTTCCGAAATATAATGACAAATATTAACCAACGTAAATATTTTACTGCACGTCTTAAGTCTTTTAAATATTTTAATGTTCAACATTTTAAACAGATAACAAATATATTGTTACTCACCGTAAAGTTGCCCCGACGCTTGATGCCATTCCGGAGCTTTTTCCTCCTTTCCGTATAGAAACACGAGTCACAAACAATTCGTGAAAACACGATTAATTATCATCGTACGACATTTTATATTCTCAACGCGTATTTTTTCACGATAGGAGATAATATTCAAATACTCTCGCGCAAAATTACACGCCCGACATTCTACCGCGTTCGCAACAGGTACGATGGAAAAAGATAAGATTGGAAATAACGGCGAGTACGGTAATATTGTTAAGGAAAGTAATGCCTGCCGATATGGAACGATCCGGCGCGATTGAAGGCCGCTGTGCGAAAGATAACAGGGAATAGGATATATGTTCGCATTCTTCCAAATCGGCGGTGACCTTGTCTCGTACATATATCCTATTACCTTGTTATCATTCGCACGACGGCCCTCGACCATATCGGATCGTTCCGTATCGGTGCGCGTTACTTTCATTAACAGTATTATCTTTATTCGCCGCTGTTTCCGATTTTACTCTTTTTTTCGCCGTACCGCGGCGGAGTATCGAACGTGTTACCTCCGTGCGAAGGTGTTCTCTTTGTCTCCGAGCATTATCTTTGTCCTACCGTGCAAAAGTAGTCCCAGCGTCGGGAGTGCCGTATAAAATGTCGCGCGATAATAATTAATCGTATTCCTATACTGAGGGGCGGAGGGGGGAGGCTTAGGAAGGGCATCGGGCGCTGGAAGAATGACTACGAGGTAATGAATCATTTATATTCGCTATCTGTATTTATTTAAATATTTCACATAAATAATTATGTAAATATATAACTTGCATAAGATATTTGAAATATTTATGAAACATTTACAAGAATTATTATTCGTGATTGTTAGTTTTTATTGCGTATTTATTATTGATTCAAACAATTAAATTTTCGACAATTCTTTCATGAGCTCTTTACTCGTATGATTTATCAAATGTCTTTTGATTTATATATTCATCTATGTGAAATGTAATTCTCTTCAAAGATTAATAGTCAGGAACGGGATTGTTGAATCGCGAGAACTATTAATTATTATAAATTAATACACAAAAATACTCAAACATTTTTAACATCATGTATTTTTGTGTATTATTTTATAATAATTAACAGTTCTTGCATTTCGACAGTCACATTTCTGGTTTTTAACAGAAAAAAACTTCTTTAAACAGAAAATATTAAAATATTAACAGGAGTATCGCCGTTTTCAGAGCACCCCGTATACGTGGTAGCTCGAGTGTATTTAGAATTCTGCTCCTTGTTTATTGTAAGTAAAAGTAAAGATGGGTGGGAAGCATACTGGAAAAGGTCATGTGTCATGATGCAATGCTCGCTTACGTCTAGAAATGGTACTTTAAATCGCCATAGACGTTACACTTCTCACAGCCTTCTGACACCCGAAACGCATCATTTAACGTCGAAATGTCAAAACTGTTTACCCTTGTCCGAAATCTAAAAATATGCGCCGTGAAAATATTGATTATTTGGACTCGAAATAACGTCGAAATTATTTTCGTTATTATGTCCGGCGTACACATAGTTCATAAATTGACGGATACTTCTCCGCTATTTTAAGATGGTATTAAAATTAGAAGCACTTATAGTAGCGGCGGCGGGATTCACTTTGCATGTGCGTCGCGCGATGCTGTGCATTCAGTTCGCCTTGAAAGCCACAATTAAAAAGCTACAGGGTCTCTACTCACTACTCCCTTCTTCTCGCTCTTTCTTTTCCTCTCCCTTCGTCTCTCACGCCGCGGTCAGGCGCAATCTTCTTTTCAGCAAATGAAAGGTTCTATTTTAAGCCGCAACGCGCTAAGGCAGGATTGGAAAATTGCACTGCGCCGCTAATAGCGCGCGTTGTTTTATGCGCTCGCACGATCAATTTTCATAGCGGCGGCGGTGCTACATTGTGGAATATCTCTTCTCGCAGGATAATTGCAGGATGTTGTCTTCTCTCTCTCTCTGCATATTCCATTCTCGTCGGAACAATGCTTTAAATCATCTATCGCTGAATACCTTTCGGATCTCAACATCTATATTGCGAATATATCCAGCATGATGTCATAGAGCATGTTTAATTGTTTTAAAATTTTTTATATTGGTAGAAATTCCGAAGAGAGATTGGCACATTTTATAAATAAAACAAAAAATCGTACATTCAATTTACGCAGCGAATTTGATGAATTATTGAAGCGCAAATTTTAGCCCGATAATCGTATTCAACGCGTGCCAGAAATGCTGTCGAGGACAATTCACTTTGCTCGCTTGTCGAGCATCCTCGGTTTTAAGGGACTTAGAAAGGGGTCGCCCTATCGTGCACTTTGCATAAAGCGAAGTGCACTTATTGCGAGAGGGAAGGAGGACGGTTGCATTTTTTTAACACGGCGAGTGAAGGGTAGCTCCGGGTCTGGCCGCGTGTTCGCCTATTGATTTTGGGGGTTCGTTTTCTGCGTGACTGTACGATACCATGGGGATTCTCGAGCTCTTCGTATCCTTGGTATTTACGATGCACTTTATTAATAAAAGAGCCACCGCTCCGTGACGCGCGCGAAGCCTACGCCGGCCAAATGACGCGTGGAAATGTCTCGCCGCGTTATATCGAATGGATATACGAGAAGCAATACAAGACGAGACTGTAAATTCCATCGTAAATGTACTAACTTGTGGCAATTAAATGGGACTATTTGCATGTAAATTGAGATGCGAATATACATCGGACATTTCAGACATCGCTCGTATTTGTCAAAGTACGTTATTAATTATTAGTTTGGATAAGTAACTTGACATATTTCAAGAATATTTCAAGAATCTATTATGGTTAAATATAACGATTATGGCGATGATTGGACATTAGCACGCAATTACTTTAATTTTTACAATTAATCGCATTATATTTTAATTCATCTAACTGGAAAATAATTTCTGAAGCAAACGAAATAAAAACGCGTGAACTGCGCATTCTTGCTTTACAAAAATCGCATCGCGCTATAATAATCGCGGATTTAATCTGCGGAAGCAGCAGTCTCTATTTCTGCCTGTCCTTTTTACAGCGGGCTTGTTTGCATTGCCGATGCAGATTCGTCAGACGGCTGTAATAAACTCTTGAATTGAGCGTTTGCAACTGCAATTTTATTCGGTAGCTTACAGGCACGCACTGTCTTCAGGCGTACGATCGTGTTTTCCAACGTTCCGTGCCGTTCACCATGGTTGTCACGGCGCTTCAATTATGTTGAAGAGGGGAGGTCGCAAGACGAATAAAGGCTTGTCCGTATTCCCTTGTCATGAAGTTAGTATTGACGTAATTCTACGGTAACGATCCTTTGTTGGCGCTTTCACCGCAAATTATTGACGCCGCGGTGTTCGGCGTTTTTTTGTCACAACAGAAATTGGCGGAAGAGAAAAGAGGAAGCGAGCAAAAATTTCCGCCTGGTTAATTATTATTTTCTTGAATTATAACTCGGAGAACCAATGATGTAATCGAACATACGTACGTGTATTTTATTTCATTTTAGAATTCCAATCTTTATGTTCAGAAAACTCAGAGGATTAGAATTCTAAAATAAATTTTATTATCGTGTACTTATCTTTTAATGTGTGATTATTTATTAAGAATTTCTTTTTATTTACTATTTTACTTATCTTTTGCAGGATTCGGGTGCAGGAGCACCAGCTGACGACGAGGACACTACGAGAACCTGCAAAAGGTGAGTTTGCACAGACAATTATTTATCTTTGGCGCGAAAATAATGAATTCTCTTTATTAGCAAGCGTAATAGACTCGATAAGATAAAAATGCAGACATTTGTTTATTTTCTACGCCAAATATTTTATTATAAAAGTAATAATGTAGGCATATACGAAGATATATCGCTTTTCATTGAAATGGACAATTTCACTTTAAATTGCACATTATTTTTGCAACATCAATGCAATCTTTGCCTCGGCGGTCCCGCGACACTCTATATAAACGAATACGTGCCCACTTTCAGTGGCGATAAGATCGAGTCGCAAGGCCGTACCATTAAGCGTGTCGAGATTCGCGGAGTCTCTCCGGGCTTTCATCTCGTTCCTTCGCACGCAGAATACTCCCGGTCGATTTTCTCGCTTGTCAGCGCGTACTCGCCTCGACTACCGTTGCTCGAAAAGCGCAAAATAAAGCGGAATTTAACACGCGTACGGGTTAATAAGTCGCGATAAGGAACGAGCAGCGCAAATTCCCAGATTGTTACTGGCGGTGGTTTCTGTTTGGCGAGTAATTTGCCCCCGCTTCGCCGATCATTAGCAGTAGGGTCGGCGTCGGTTTTCCACAGGGATAATTATTGATCTGATAAAACTCTCATCATAGTTTCTTCGACGCGAATTTTTGTCGATGTTATCTCTCGTCTACTTTCGTGAGTCAAAACCAATCCTTCGCCCGGCAGATTGCAGTTTTATCGCCGGATATTTGAGACGCGCGAGCACTTTTATCATAAATCGACCAGCGTCGTGTCTCCACGGTGTTTACATTCTTGGAGACAAGTACCGGCGAGCTGCAACGATCCGCGTTGATTTTATCGCTGTGCGAATGGACACCTAATCTGAAATTAGTTTACCGTACGCATGTTTTCGAGATTTTATCACGAGAATATTTTGCACAAGCTAACGCAGTTCACTGTTTCTGCACGTTACTTTCGTGAAAGAAGTTATTAATATTAAAATAAAAATAACACTGTTTTGCCGATGTTATAGCAAACATTTAATAAATAGTATATTTATATTTCACATCAAAAAGTATATTTGTGATTAACAATTACTTTAGAAATTATAATAATACCATTGTTTAAAAAAGAATTCATAGCGCGCCTTATATATCTGTCTCTCACAATCCGTTGTTTGTTTATGAATAGTCTTGAAGATATCGCTAATTATTTCTTAGAATGTCTTACTGTTCTGTTTAAAGTACGCGGTAGTATTTTACATGAAAATATGCATACAAATATATGCTAGGCGTGAGACCGCATTATCGCATATTTAATCTCTTGGTTCTTGTTAATCAAGTAGTTTAATGCTTTATAGCATCATAAATAAAATCTAGACTTTATACGCCGAAGTCGTATAACGTGAGAATGATAAGCATAATGCACTCTTTACGGGCCAGCTTTGCAATGTCGGCGATCGACGATTTCTTCCGGGCGAAAGGCGCTTATTCGCGCGAAGCTCGCGATTGTCACGTCAGTTAGGCTCCCGGAACCGCGACGTTGGTGCAGCAGGAAATACAATTCGAGAACGCAGAGCGGAGAGCGTTATTTAATCAACGGTGAAGCGATTTCCATCGTTTCCTCGTGGAAGCGCATCTTCGCTTCCTCCTCGTTACGATCATTCGCTCGTTGCAACTTGTCCGTTTTCTAGGAAAGCGGCGCTCGCGTGCGAATTTCCTCGTCTCGAATTGCGCATTGCATTTCCAATCTGCGTCGTACATCTTGCGCGTATCTGCAGCGGGACAGGAAATCCCCACGGAATCGATTCACTCTCTTGCTCCGGGCCGCCGCCGCCGCCGCCGCGAGCAGAAGGCTTCGCTCTTAATCGTCCGACTTTCTACGGCGCGTTTGCGTAACATCTCGCCTCGCGCGCGGATCGTAACATTACATTACGCCGGGAGACGTAATCGAAGTGCTTCGTGGACGGAAAGAGGAAAAAAACCCCCCTCGTCGTAACCGGATATTAAGATACCCCAGCCATAACGAGGGTCGCGACAAGAGAATTTTAGTTGCGGATATTGGCGCGGATGAGATTTCCCATCGGTACGGAATTTCGATTTTTTTCAGATAAAGAAACGACGGAAAAGTGGAAAGCACATGACTTGTGTAAATTAATTCAGAACAGTAATATTTGATGAATTTTTGCACAATTAAAAATGGAACTTTTCTTGATAAAAATATTCAATAATTTCAATTTTAATAAATTAAAAATAAGCCTTTTGCAAGAATTAAACCCGTGGAAGTATATAAATAATAAAATTATATTTTTAAAATTAAATTTTGATGAATTTTATTTTAATAAAATCTTAACACGAAGAGCTGCGATAAATAATGATGTATTTTAAGAACTAATAAAAAAATTCGTTTGAAATGTATGAAGGAATTTATTATTTAAAGCTAAATTGATTGAGTTATATTTAGTTAGTGATTTAGCGCTCGTCACAGTTTCATCGCTAATAAAATAGAATTTCTATTTCGCGATCTATACTGCGCTGCAGTATCACAGATTCACGATTGCTTTCAATTTCAAAGTAAAGTACTGTTGGTTATGGCAATATATCACGCTTCCCGTTTATTTTACCTCCGCACGGGAAAGTCGATTTGTAGGCAATCAACGTCGTAATACAATACCCTCGATTCAGTCTTGCTTCTGGCGAACATCGATGCCCGCTTTGCTATTTTTGGCTAGATTGCACGCAAGGCATTTCAGTAGGGCGCGTATCCGATACATGACCTTTAGCCCGGCATAAGTTCACGCTGCCAGCGTGATGCTCCTCTGCTAAGGTGAAATCTTGAGCCGGTGCACGACGTACGTGCCTATGCAGTAACAAAAAAAGGATCTGTGGAAATTTTACTCTCTATTGTCTAAGAAATGTGTTCGTCGCACGAGTCTATTATGCTTGCCACTTGTTTATCGAAGCATTGTTATTGAAATCTCATAGCTGTGTGATATTTCACCGATACATCGGAAGCAAAGTTATCTTTTATTACAAAATTAAATATCACTGTTTAATAAAACGACACGTATGCATAATTATATTCGTGTATGTACATAATTAGTCATAATTATCGACGATTGAAAAACATTTGATTAAACATGCAAAACACGCTAATAGGTCGCCTTTTTTACGCATATGCGCGGTATTAAATCAATTATTTATCGAAATTGCTCTACGAGAAACTTCGCTTAATTGAAAGTATTTGTCAAGGTCTCTCGTTAAATTCATCACCACCGAGTCTTTGACGAACAAAATGCGCAGAGGTATCAATTACGGAACGTAAACAGTGCCAAAGTAATTAAGCTGACATCGCAGTGCCAATCTAGATTTATAATTGCAATTAGATCCGCGGGACCTCTCGTCGACTCGAGGGGCAAAAGCGCTTAGTAGGTACCACACAGCCGATAGCGCAATTATCGTTAATTGCGATCTCCAATCGCGGAGGACGTTTATTGCAGAATAGCAGCGCGGCGTGGGTGGATCTAGTGTCACTCATTTGTTCAACCTCCGAGATTTAGCGGCCGTATCGGCGCGGAGGAGATAATCGACGTCGCGATTACAATCGAGCGGAAACTTCTTTTCACGACTTTTACCCGTCTTATTCGAACGCATCGGACGAAAGATTGGATTGATTTTTCTTTTCCGCGTTTTTCATTTCCCCTTCGCGAAAAATTGGAACAGCGAGAAATGTATTTTCACCTGAATACGATTCGCGTCGCGATGTCTCGACAACGGCAACACGCCGCGCGATGCACTTTCACGTTCCGTGCGACCTGCCGTAGATTCAGAGCCCGACCGCAAACTCATTAGTGTCCGTCACGGGGTAGACGTCAGCCCGACTCGGTCTCCATAATTTTCTGCACGCCTCGTCGCCTTCGCCGCGAGGAAAACTTCGATCGCTAGATCACAAGAAAAAGAAAGGGACGTCCGGTGTTTACCGCCGGGCTGTAATCCCGAACGGATTGGTGCGCCTAATCTCACCGTCCGCTGGCAAACGGACGTACAATGGCACATTCACAATCGTAGAAATCTCGCGAATATCTCGTCCGCCATTGGACGCGTTATTCCCAATTACGTGGTGTTTGCACTTTCAATATATCGCTGAACGCAATATCGTGTATCGTATTCCAAGGCTCGTTAGCACGTGCGTTAAAAAGGCTGCTAAAAAGCGAGTTAACGCTCCGCCGGATCGTCGCGTTTTAAGAGGGCATTGATTGTACCTCAAGTACAATATTACACTACGAGCGCGCGGAGAGAAGCTGGGGCTCGTAAGAATTTCCGACGATCTGCTCTCGGTGCCCGGAGCCCGACCGAGGCGGTCTACCTTGAACGGGATTCTTGGTCGTTCGTAAATTTCACTAACAAAGAGTCACGAGACTCGTGAGGATAATAGCCGGATATACATGTATTTTCTCTCGCTATAACGCGAATAATGCCGCGTACACGCCGTTCATTATAATTTTGCAGATAGTCCCGATAGTCTTTTGATAGTTTCGCAGAGAAATAAAATGCGGGAGAAAATAGTACAAGTTACTACTCGTCCATTTTTTGCCTCGCACTTTTAACTGCATACTTTCTCCAACGCCGGTATTACGATAACTTTCAGAACGAATTCAGTGTCATTTAGCATCATTTGCGAGACGATAAATAACACCGTGCGACAGAACTTTTCCTTTCAAAATTAATGGCACGTTGCATTGCAATTTATTGCTTACTTTAGTTCCTTGCTTTTAGTACTTCGAAGATAATCGTAAATCTAATCATTCTGAAGCGTAGAATAAATTCAAATTTCAAATAATTGCGAGATTTAGAAACATATAAAATTAGTAGTTGCTATTTTGTAAAAAGTTTGAAACTAGTCATTAGAAAATATTGTGTTAACTATTTAAGGATTATATTCTTAGAATTGAATGCCACTTTGATAAAATTTGATCCTTTTTACATGTCGCACATAAATCTGATATCGAT